TGTGACGGGGTCTCACTCTGTTGCCAGGCTGGAGTGCAGTGGCACGATCTCGGCTCACTGCAACCTCTGCCTCCCAAGTTTAAGCGATTCTCTTGCCTCAGCCTCCTGAGTAGCTGGAATTACAGGCAAACGCCATCATGCCCAGCTAAGTTTTGTATTTTTAGTTGAGATGGGGTTTCACCATACAGCCAGGATGGTCTCGATTTCTTGACGTCATGATCTGCCCACCTCGGCCTCCCAAAGTGCTAGGATTACAGGCATGAGCCTCCGTGCCTGGCCCGACGTTGGCTTTTTAAAATTGTTTTTTTGTTTTTTTTTTCTGGAAGCATGTTGCCATGAGCAATGCAGTGATCACTAGTGCTATTTGGCATTACTGCCCTGGTTTATGCGAAGGCGCGGCAGTTTCTCTCCACTGCTCTTACACCGTCAAAGGGAACAAAGTGCAGAAGGGAGCAAAGTGGAAAGGGTAAATCACATTTTAGTGTGGTGCAAATAATTTTGACCTTGCAGACCCCCTTGGAGAAAGGCTCTGGAGGCCTCTCCGTCTCCCTGAGTTCCATGGACCCCAGTTGGAGGGCTATGATCTGGTCTATCTCCCATCCTGTTAAAGAATCCCTTCTGTATCTTTGAGAAATTACCTTCCTGTTTCCCTCAGGGATGTCTATTGCAGGGGAAATGTTTATTGCTACACTGTGAAGTAGCCTGTTACATTTTTGACAGTTCTATAAACTAACTCAGATCTTTTTTCCGCTGATGACCCTTGATAAAGTTGAGGAAAACTTCGCACAGATCCTCGTCTCTCTTTTTCAGCATAAATTTATATTTCCGTTTCCTTCAGTGGTTCCTCTTATGGCCTGGTTTCATATATCCTGCTCATCTTTAAAATGAAAATGCATGGACATTATTTAATTCATTACAAAAGATATTGACAAAATAACCATGGGTTCTTTTCACTGCTGGACCGTATATAAATATATGTAAGACTTGGTTCTTACCCTAAAGGAATGAAAAAAAACTGGATCCATTTAAACACAGCTGAAGAATATAAACATTAACTACAGAATCATACATGGCATTTTGCAGTTAGAAAGAACCTAACTCTCGGCTGGACGCAGTGGCTCACACCTGTAATCCTAGCAGTTTGGGAGGCGGAGGTGGGCAGAACACTTGAGGCCAGGATTTCAAGACCAGCATGGCTAACATGGCAAAACCATGTCTCTACTAAAAATACAAAAATTATCTCTGCATGGTGACACATGCCTGTAATTTCAGCTACTCAGGAGGCTGAGGCACGAGAATCGCTTGAACCCAGGAGGTGGAAATTGCAGTGAGCCAAGATCATGCCACTACACTCCAGCCTGGGTGACAGAGCGAAACTCCA